GTTGAAATTCTGCAGCCGTAACAATTTTTCCATGTTCACATGAGAGTCCTTGTTTCCTGCCACTTCTTTTGACTACCCCAATGGCTTCACACTCAACGATCTCCCACTTGAAGCCACGAAACAATCTTCACCATTGCTTCAACTGTGTATCTGTATTTTTGTAAAATTTTTTGATCTTGACTCCTTCCTAGTTACCCTGGCCTTCTCTTCAATTTACCTGAAGGCTAGTTGAAGCTTCCGTTAGCTCCAACACATCAGTCATGGCTAAGTCTGCCACTGAACTGTTCTCTGTCTCCACCGGCTCCCACTGAAATGAACTGCCCGATCCTGGAACATCCTGAGAACAAACGACACTCTCCATGTGAAGCAGATAATCTGGAGAGACTTTTACAGATGGAATACTGGTTCTCTTAACCCACTGTGTTCTGGGTATTCTAGTTGAAGCACAACCCTTGCTCCCACTGCTATGAATGCCCTTGACTGGTTTTTCTGAACCGTTCCAAACACGTTCAACCTGAATCTGACCTGTGACTCTGGGTTTGCCATCTGCAAAGCAACCTTCTTCTGTCCACGACGATTTTGTTTTTCTTCTGAACTGGGACGGTTACTCCCTCAGACGGTAAACTGACCATATATAATGAACCCCTCTTATGTCCACGAGCTATCACAAGATTTCCTTTGACAACCTTCCACTGCCCATTCCTGAACTTAACCTCGTGTCCCTGTTCATCCAACTGCCCAACAGAAATCAACTGTTTCTTCAGACTTGGAATTACCCGGACATCCTTCAAAGTCCATGGACCAACTGGAGTCTTCAAAACTAAGTCACCTATGCTCGTCACATCAAGAACCTCATCGTTCGCCAGTCTTACCTTACCAAAATCTCCTTCTTTTAGATTCTGCAGTGCTTCACGGCTGTGGGTAGCGTGAAATGAAGCACCCGAATCCATAACCCAGGAATCCACATTGCTCTCCACACTACAGATCAAAACATCATCATCTGAATGGTCTACTGCAGCGTTAACTTATTTCTTGTCTTTTGGACATTGATTCCTGAAATGTCCAACCTCTTTACAGTTCCAACAAGTCACATCATTTCGAGTCCTCGACTGACTCCTTCTCCTGTTCCCGCTCCCACTACCTCTGTTATTTTTTCTACCTCTGACCGCATTCAATTGTTCACTTGATGATTCCCCGGAATTTCTTCGTCTGACGTCTTCGCCTAGAATTAAATCCCGAATTCCCTCAAAAGTGAGCTCTTTTGATCCTGAGGAACTAGTAACGGCTGTAACTGTTCCGGACCAACTGTCAGGTAATGATGATAACAGTAGTAAAGCTTGAACTTCGTCCTTAAATTTTATTCCCACTGACCCAAGTCTGGATAAAATCGAGTTCAAATTGTTGATGTGTACTATAACTGAACTTCCTTCCCTCATCCTCGTGTTGACTAGCTCCCGAATCAGGAAGACTTTATTTGCTGCCGACGGCTTCTCGTACATATTAGACAATGCCTCCATGATTCCCTTTGCCGAGGTCTCCTTCAAAATGTTGAAGACAACATCCTTTGACAACGTCAGTCTAATAAATGCCTTGGCCTTCTTATCCAAAATCTCCCAGTTTGCCTGTGTTATCGCCTCCGGTTTTTCACCTAAAACTGCGTCCAAGTCATTCTGCACGAGCAAATCTTCAATTTGCATCTTCCACCAACCAAAATCTTTCCCATCAAACTTCTCAATCTGAAGCTTACTGTTTTCTGCCATTTTCTGAAAGATTAGGGGCTAAACTGCAATTTTCTGAAAGTTCAGGGGCTAAACTGCAATTTTCTGAAAGTTCAGGGGCTAAACTGCAATTTTTCAAATCTGCTACAGTGTTGCTACAGTGCCCGCTGACGTGGTGCTACAGTGCTTGCTACAGTTCTGTTGACGTCACCGCTGACGTCGTGCTACAGTGCCTGCTACAGTGTCGTCTTCTCCGGCAGAACTTCGGTGCTACAGTGTCCTCTTCTCCGGCGGAACTTCGGTGCTACAGTGTCGTCTTCTCCGGCGAAACTGGTTTTTTCCGGTAACTATTCCGGCAACCTTTGACCGGCGATTTGGACGTCTTCCGATGGTCAAAAAATTCAGAAAAAAATATTTTCGGAATCTTCGGAACGAGACCTTTCCAACGGTATACACCAAAATCGTTTTTGACGAAAAAAATTTCGACCAAAAACTTAAAATCACCTTCTGGAGCTACAACCTTGCTCTGATACCACTTGTTAGGATCGAGACACTTAACACACGACTCTAAACACACACACAGCTCACGAAAAACAAGAACACAAGGATGAACATGAGGGATTTAACGTGGTTCGGTCCTTCTCTGACCTACGTCCACCGGTAACTAGGAATTTACATTTCTTGATGCTAATCTGCACTCTTTCTGTGTTACACTAGATACAAGTTTTACAAATGAAAGGAAGAAGCCTATTTATAATATTTTGAGTCGTAAGCCTTTTCTTCCATTCACATACATGTGAAATTGATAAGGCCACCATTGTTGAAATTCTGCAGCCGTAACAATTTTTCCATGTTCACATGAGAGTCCTTGTTTCCTGCCACTTCTTTTGACTACCCCAATGGCTTCACACTCAACAATTCCCAGTTAGAGTTTGTTATGCCATGACGATCAACAAGAGCCAAGGCCAGTCTTTAAACAAGATAGGAATTTATCTTCCTCATCCAATTTTCAGCCACGGGCAATTGTATGTTGCACATCTAGGGCTACATCAGCAGCTGGTCTCAAAATACTGATTAAAAGACAAGAGGACCAGCCATCTAATTGTACAAAAAATATTATCTTCTCAAATTTTTTAGCAAAATTAGAATCTGCACAGGTTGGTAGTTAAGCACTTTTGTGATTTATTGCTTAAAATGTTAAAACTTAATGAAAAAATTTACGTAATGACCGTTGTTTGGTACTTAGTATTAGAGTTACTTCACTCAAAAATAACATGTAACTGAATTTTCATTTTTTGGGAAAAAAAATTCCTTATTTGAAGTCCTTCCTATTTTAGGCTGTAGATATGGAGCTTCTTCTTCATTGACTTAAAAAAAATCACCTTCCGCAGCAGTAGCACCGATGATGTTGGTAATATTGAAGTTTGAAGATAGAGGTGGAAGGAATCAAACAGTTGCAAGGTAATTATGTTACATGATTTTGTATAATATATAAGTAATAGAGAAAAAATGTAACTAAAATATCTTAATGAGTTATGTTTTGAAATTATATAAGTAAAAGGAAAAAAATGGACAGACTTATAAACCCCTCCTATTGCTATTTTGGTTTTTTTTAGTGTTAATGATGTTGCACTCTTCCACATGTTTATATACCCAAAAGAACTTTTTTTTATTTTTTCTTGGCAGTTTTTGCCTTTTTGGTGTTCTACTTTTGATGTACTACAAGAACACAGGTCAGAATTATCAAATACAGGTAACCGATTTGTGTCATTTACTTTTTTGCCCTTCATGATTTTGAGTCTTTTTTGGTTTTGGTCCAAAAAATGGTCGCTTTCCCTTTTTACTGTTCGATTTAATTAACCTCATTGACGTGGCTCGCACCTGCACACATGGGCTTTTTTGGTCTTTTCCTTCTTTATAATAAAAAATACCTCTGTAAGGCACATGAAAGGGGTAAATAGACCAAAAAATATTATGAAACAGTTAAATAGGGACCAAAAAAGGAAAAAAAAATTGGTTTCTTCTATAAATCATGTTTCTTAAAGTTGTTATGATAATAGAGCAGCGGTCTATGTTTTCTTCTGTTCTGATAAAAGATTTATCAAGCTATGAAGACTTTAGGCTTGATAACTATACAAAAAATAAAAGAAATCTTAATCACGTTTTTTTTTATTATTTATTTTTCTATCTTCTATTTTAAACCTTATTACAAAAAATTAATAACTAAATGATAAACCTTATAACTTACATTAGATAACAGAAAATTTAAAAATATAAATTAGATGAAAAAACAACTAAATAACGTTCAAGCCTTATCCCTAAAATCAAAAATTCAATTTATTATCCCTAAAATCAAAAATTCAATTTATAAAAAAAAGGTTTTCGCATATAGCATCAGGCCCAGTACAATGCCCACGCTTCGCTCACTGTTTCCTCTTTCCCTCACGCAATCTTCCAGGTACGATAGAACCAATCAGCCTTACCCCTCTTTTCCTCACGCAATCTTCTAGGTACGGTTCTCTTCGATCTCAATTTGGAGATTTCGTGATTTTTCCACCAGCCACTCCTTATTACCAGATAAAACACTTCATGCGATTTCACTTTTTCCACATATCGGCTTCCTGTCTTCCAGGTTAGTTCTCTTCGTTAATTAATTTTGTTGAATCTATGTTTCCAATATATTCATGCCTAATTATCATATCAATATATTAGTCTACAAGTTTTTTTTAATTTTTTTTTACGGTCTTAGTCTCTGAATTATTAATTCTAATGTGATAATGAAATATATATCCACAACTACATAAACATTGTCTTTTTATACGTATAGGTACTTATAAAGAAAACTTTTAAAAGCTTAAACCGATTTTTTAATGCTTATTTCTGGAACTGCAAGAAATTTTAAACCAACTTTTAAACACTATCCAGGTAACATGATTTTATAGCCCAAAGTTTAAAAGTATGTTGTCAATTGTTGCTTATTTTTTAAAATTTAGTTTAAAATTTCTTGCATTTTTCTGCATTTATATTTTAACTGAATTATACAAATAATCTGAAACAAAGTTACATAAATAGTTCATGTGTAGTAGTAAAGTTACAGAAAGGTTCCATCTAATAGTTAACTTTTAGTCATTAATTATTCAACATCATTTGTGTATAAAAGAGTACCTGTAATAATAAACTTGCAGAAAGGATCCCTGTAATAGAAAAAATTCCAATCTTTTATGGGAAAAAAATTAATTGTTGATTTTTCATTTTAATTTGAACTTCACAGATTCTACAAAAATGGATACAAGTATGGTAGCAAACTTAAACCCTGGTGATGGAGACAAGCCAATAGAAATAAAAGTCATTAGGAAATGGTTATCATATGGGAAAAAAGCTGAATGTTGCTACATATTCCTTGATAAAAGTGTGAGTGCATTCACCATAATATTACATGCAATTGTCAATTATAATCAATTCTATGTTAGATACTTATACATATACATATAAAACCATTCATTTTTGGCAGGGAGATGCAATAGAAGCATGTGGTTGTCTGGGAGATAAAGGCTACTTTGATTCGATAATCAGGATGGATGGTTGTTACTCTGTAAGCAACTATGTGTGTGACAATGCAAATACTTTCTTTGTTACTGTCCCACACAAAACCAAAATCAAGCTAGGCAGGGCAGCAAAATTTGAAGAAATACGTGATGATGGATTTCCTGTGTACTACTTCAATTTTCTTGCATATGGTCAATTAGGTGCAAGGCTTGATAACCATAAGACACTCACAGGTATGTAATACTTATATATATATATATATATATATATATATATATATATATATATATATATATATATATATATATATCTTTTAAAATCACAAAATTGTTATATTTGTGTTAAGATTATATCGGAAGAGTTGAAAATGTGTATGAAGTAGTCAGAACTCAAGGAAATGCAATTTTGAAACTCAAACTAGAAAATTTGAGGTATTTTCTATCTCATATATCTAACAAAGACCAAGCATATCATATTTAATATCTGAAATATGTATGTTTAGTGGAACAATGATTGAGACAACTTTCTGGGATGAGGCGGCTAACTCATTTGATAAAGAAGCTATCGAAGCATTACCTTCTCCTGTTATTGTTGCTATTACTTCAATGAAAGTCACACAGTATCTAGGTATATTTTTCTCATTTTATTGTATTGAAGCATTTTGCTTTCAAAGTACAATGCTTAATAAAGAAAAACACTTATTTAAAAAGAAAGAGAAATAAAGTTTAAAGTATTATGCTATATTAGAAAATCAGATTAAAGTACATTCCTATTTCTTGCATTTAGCAACATTTATAGAAACTGCCCCAACCTTATTATTTTTGCTTATTTTTCTTTTATTTTGTAATTAACAACATTGTTATGTTGGTTTCTTTAATAGGAAATTTGCAACTGACAGCAACTCCAGCCTCATATATTTACATCAACCCCACTATTCCCGAGGCTGCTGCAATGGCTGCTGAGTAAGTTCTTTATTCATATTTATATAACTTTGTGACATATCTTACAGTTCATTTTCTCTTTTAGGTTTGTCGAACGACATAATCAAAACCCTATACTCAAGATACAATACCAAAAAAGTAAAGATGTAGAAGTCGAAAAGAAAAGAAACAGGTTTCCATTGGTAGACTTGCTATCTCAAAACCCAAACCGTTATGCAGTAAGCCATCAAACCTTCTCTTATCTTAAAATATATATACAAATTTTATAGTTTTAAATTTAATATAGATAATATTATAGGGAGCTCAGTTCACTTGCAAAGCATCTCTGGTTAGCTTAGATGCAAGCAAGGGTTGGTTTTATAAAGCATGTCATGAATGTCGTAAAAAACTTCAAAAAAGAGGAAACACACTTCCATGCGAAGATCATGATCAAGTTGCTAAACCAAACAATTTGTAAGTACTATGTTTTTTATGTCAACTACTTGAGTATATAATCATCTTAACATACATATGTCTAATAATCGTATCAACAGGTTTTTTATCACAGCACACATCGCAGATGAGACCGCTCAAGCAAAGATAGTCTTTTTTGATGCTGCAGCTAGAATGTTGTTCCAAACAGATTGCAACACACTCATTGATCATCATGGATACACTGATCCGTACACATTGCCTGCACCACTCACCATTCTCATAGGCCAGCCAAAAATAATTCAATTCCGATTCGCAAGATTCTGTAGGCCGGGTGCTAAAGACTTTGTAGCAGATGCTGTTTTTGAAGATATAGTTTCTCCATAAAAAGAAAGTCACACAGAAACAGTCATTATCAACCAACCAACTGCCTCAGCATCATCAAAAAAAACACCCACTACATCAACTGATCCTCCATCTACTGCTTCTGTTACTCCAGCAAAAGCCTTTCAAGAGCGTCTCACAACATCACCCATCACACCCGCTTCCGCTGAAACTAAACATCACCAAATGAAATCTGTCCAGATACAACTTTTCCAAACATCATCTGAAGGTACATAAATCTTACTAATCGTTTCTTCTAGAATCTATTTTAGGAATATATATATATATATATATATATATATATATATACATATAATATTTTTTTATTATTTGGAAAATAATATTGAAGGTTTTTGCAGATTCTCTTGACCAAACATATGGTAAGTTGGTTAAGAAGCAAAAAAATGTGTTGATGCAGCAAACGTGAACAACAAAACCCGTGTTGGTTCACGAGGAAAAGACAAGTAGTTGTGCTCCATGTCATGCAGTTCAGTAAGGTATATCTGTAATATCATGGATTGTCTATCAATTATTTAGTATTTCCTATATTCAATATTTATTTATGCTTTTTGAACAATGTCACAGGAAATATGATTAACTTTTGAGGCTCTGCCATATTTTCTACAAAAAACTTTGGAGAGCTGGCGTGCTATGTAAAAACGTTTGGGACAGTTGTCGCTGCGATATTTTGTTACATCATGGGTTGTTACTACCGTGTATTTTGTTGAAACCTTTGAAGAACTGCTACTTTTGCCCCTTTTGAAGAACTGCTACTGTTGTCATTACTTAAAATATGTTGAATATCAATGTCCCTTCTAAATATGTCTACAACTATGTAAAGTTGTTTATGTAAATATGTTTATTCAGCTTTTATTTATATTATAAGTGTTATATCTTTTTGCATAACCATTTAACAAATTTAACATACCAAAACACATAATTCATACACTTTTCATCAAAAAATTTAAATAAATTTTATTAAACAATGTGAAACTTAAACTTCATTGCTTAAAGTACCGCCGCAACGCGCGGCCATAAAACCTCGTTCATATCATTTTTATTTTTATTTTTTATACAATAATACATAAAAGTTGATCTAGATTCGTTAATTATTTATAACAAAGTCATAAAAATATTAAAAAATCACTTTGAAGTTTAAAAAAATCAGTTTATTTAGATTTCAGTTTATTTTAGTAGCCCGCAGATGTTAAAAAAACAAACAGTTTTCTTTTTTCAGACTGCAGACGTTTTGGTCCACCTCTTCTACCGCAGAGGTCTACAGATGTGGTCCGCAGACTGCAGACATTTTGCCTCAGAAAAAACAAACAGCACCTAACTGTGTATGCAATAAAAGTTTTTGAGAGTATTTTCAAACATAAGCTTTTAAATTTTGAAAAAGCTATTGAATGAGGTTTTTTTTTTTCTTTTTTTTTTTCAAAACTAAGATTTTTCAATAAGATTTTTTTATTGAAATAATGATTTAGGGGTAACGAAATTTCATTTTTTTCCCTACTTTTAGTCACTTTTTATTTTTATACACCATTTACCATTGGATTCTTTAATGTTAAAAAGTATCATTATTATTGGTTTTAATCGGTTTTCGGGAACTTTTGCATCTCCAACGGCTCTTCAGTCATCTTCTTCGTCCAACATGAATTTTCCGGCGAGTTCTTGACACTTCATATACCGAATCTCGACGACTCTCCCTTGAATCTCGATTTTTCTATATTTTTAAAGAACTGATTATTGAACATGAGTTTTTTGTTTCTGATGAACTCAAGAACATATCTCGGTTCTAATGAACTCACCATAAAAACAGTTGAACATATCTCTTGAACAGATCTCAAGAACAAATCTTGTTTCCGCCATGGATGAAACTTTAGTGATATGTTCTTTAAATCGTCTGAACTAAAAATGTGTTCAACTCGCTTTGCAGATCTTGATTTCTTATGATCATGTGCTCTTGAGTTCCTAAATCATTTGAAACCAAAATTATTTTCAAGAAAATTTCCAAAAATTGTCTTCAAAAAAATATCCTGATTTTTCTTAAATGTCTTATCTATATGCCAAGAACTTTCCAGAAAAATCATGTTGTCAGGAGACTCACCGTAGAAGATAACCACAGTCACCAGAGATGTCAAAGTCGTTGAAAACAGTATAAAACTGGTCATAATGGTTTTTTTTAACACTAGAAAAAAGTCTAATGATACATGATGAACAAAACAAATAAGTAAGCCGGAATAAAAGTAAAAATCCGTTACCATTATAAGTCATCATCCTATTTTTAATTAACAAGTTCTATGGTTAGAGGCTTAAAGCTTTTCCAAAAAAGTATATATTTTATTTTATTCATTTATCTATTGTATATAAGAAACAAAAAGCTAATAAATTTGAAAAAACACATTGTAGCACCATAAAAAACTATTTCAAAATGCTCTATATAAGTATATGTTACACAAAAAGCTATGAAAAAGCTCTCCTAAGCTTTAGTTTGAAACAATTACTCTAATAGTTTTTTTTTTAAAAAAATTCAAAAGTTATTTTATTTTAAAAAGCTTTCAAAAGAGCTCCTATTTTGAATGCTTTTAACATAGACATTGTCACACCCCCAAACCAAGGATGGCGGAAACGTCCGGGGGTGGAGGACTTCATGTATAGTATCATAACAACAATTGTAATAGTAATTGAAGCAAACACAACCAACATATATATAATTGATAAAGTGACATCATTGTATGAATTACATGTTTACGAATCAATTACAATATGTTGACAAAATATGAAATAGTAGACGCCTTAGCGCCCCATCCTCAAAAGCACTTGGTTACCTGTTTAATGATTTCCTGAGAATACAAGTTGTTTGAAAAAGTGTCAACACAAAGGTTGGTGAGTTCATAAGCTTTTGTTTGGTATTATTAAAAGCCTTTCGTTTGTAAAAGTAGTATTTGTGTTAAAAAAATCTAATATTTTCCTTAATGTGTAAATGTAGTCTTAAAACCCAAAGACCGAAATGTACAAGTAATTTGTCATATTTATAGTAAAACAATGCAAGTTTAAATCGACATAAACTCGTTAAATTTTAATGAAGTTCCCGTAAATTCCAATGTTTATTAATACTTTATGTGAGTTTATTATAACCATACTATGACCAAGGTTGCCTAAAACGACGTTCTTCAGGCGTCGGAAATGTTATGACATTTGTCACCCCAGACCTATCGGTCTAACTGTTGCATGCAGTTTAGGTGTGGGTTTGTCAAACCCAATATAGATCTATACACAACTATCACGCTCTCCCTCAAGGAGACTCTGGTTACAATACAGGACTTAATGGTAGTTTGAAGTAAATGTCTCACAAAGTCATTAACGGAATTACGTGTTATGAAAACTTGGTACCGTATGGCCGTACCTTGCTTAATGAAAATATCCTTTGTATAAATGTACCCTTTTTAAATGTATGTGTTATGTAATGTATCATAAACTATACCTATTATAGTTTATCAACCAAGGGTAGTACGTAGTAATGTATGCAAACTATATTCAAAATAGTTTATTAAATGTTTGAATGTATCGGTTGTACTTTGATTATAATCACTTGTTATTCTTTATATTTTATATGTCCAAATCCATTTGTAAACTGATGTGTGTCTAAATATTAAGATGAAATGTCATATATTGCAATAACATATAATCACATAAAGATATACACCTTGCTCAACATGTTACAAGGTGAAATGAAATTGACAGCAACTTTTCGTTGAATACAGTTTCTGTTACTGTTCTTAGAAAATTTATAGAAAAATCATCAAAGCTCTAAATCCAAATCCGCAAACTCTGAGAGTTTGGAATATGAGTCTAGTTTGATCGTAAATTTTATCATGATTTTTAGTGATCTCTAACAGAGGTGAAAATGTTCATAATCACAGACTGGTCCGGGTTTGCCTCTGAAATGACAGGCAGTTTTGTAAAAATCACCATAAATTGTAGAAAAATCATATGGAGATGTGCAAGTAGCCATTTTAAAGCTAAGAGTTTGAACTACTTGCACCTGGAACAGTTTTGAAAACTAAAATATTTAAGTTGACCAAAACAGTCCGTGATCGAAGTTCATCTTTTCTGATGTAATCTGATAGAAAAAGTTTAATTGTGTTCTTGATGATTTTACTTGTATTCCGCCCTTAAAACTTAAGAAAAACATGTAAATGTAGGGGTATGAACTCACCTTATGTGGTTTCAGTAGATGAAAGTGAGAGAGAGGAAGTATTCAACCCAAGAACACTAAGAAGATGTCTTGATGATTCGAGAATCTAACACCGAATAAGATGGAATTTGTGTAAGATATCAATGATTTGAGTAGAATGGAGTGTAATAATTATATGAATGATGAAGATACTTACTAATTGAAGAAAGGAATCCCAGAAGAAAGCCTTGAAGTTCTTAAAGTTGAGAGAAAAGATGAGAGAATTTTGGAGAGTGTCCTTTGGTTGCTAAGTGTAGAATGAAAGAACTTTATGGAGAATGAGGAGAGAGGATCAATCCTCCAGCTCTTAGAACGTGGGAAGAGCTGGAGATTGGGTGTAAAGGTCCACTAAGGAATAAGGGGGTAGTGGGAAAGAGTGGCTGATCATAGAGTGAGGTGGTGGTGGTTTGCTTTTGCCACAAATTAAGGAAAAGCAAATATTCCCTCAATAATTAGTTCAACCACTAATTCTTTTAATATATTTTTATAAAAACCCTGGAGATTTATATATTTTGGGGCCTTAGTTTATAAAATATAGTTTTGGGTGAAAATCTCACGTTAAAATAATGAAAAACGGAGTTAAAACGAAGTCGTAGTCGAAAAACCGGTAAAAAGGGCCGTCTGCGAGACCCCTCGCATGGAGGCTGGATTCGGACCCTCGCATGCGAGGCTGCGGTCTGATGGCTTCGGATTCGGTCTCCTGAGAGGCTTCAGCTTCGGTCCTGATGAGAGGCTTCGGATCCGAGGCCTCGGATGAGAGGCTTCG